GGGGGGGGGGGGGGAGGAGGAGTTTGACTAAGCCCCAACCATTCCAGAAATCTTAGCTGAGGGTCACTTCTCATGTCAATGGAGACCACATTAACTGCCCTGTTAACAGCTTGAATGGATTATCGTTGTAGTTAGGAACTGTCAACAACTGGGAACAATCTGATTCGATATATTTTGTCCGGATAAAAGTAGTTATAAAACCATTGCCACACTAACCTCCAACCGCTTGATGATTTCTCGTAGAGAAAGCGTTGCCTCATTTCCTCCTATGAAGGTGGTGGTAGGCAATCTGAAAACCTTGTCCAGGTCAGATTCATGCAAACCATAAAACCCTGCAGGGTAGTCATTGATGAGCGGACAGGCATGAGAAAGGCAAAAAGTACAAAATAGAATCACTATATGAATGTCAAGACAGCTTAAAAAGAAACATCTCAGCACTGGGGAATGAAGGGCTAACAAAAGTACTGTACGTGTTAAAATTATAAATCTGGCATTTTTAAACCACATCCCCTACCGCATTTTTAAACAGGAAATGCATACTTTGATGAACTATGGGGTTTATTGTAATATTTCTATTAACTGGTTGTATTGTAATAATATTGTGTGCCTCAGTTTCCTATTAACTTAAAGCCTTCCATCTGGTATCCTATGATCACCTCCTCTTGGCAAAGCTGGCCAACTGTGGCCTCGGGTCCACCATGATCCCCTGGCTGGGGAATTGGCTCTGTGGTCGGACCCAGAAGGTGGTGGTTGACGGAAGTCAATCGTCATGGTGCCCTGTGACCAGTGCGGTCCCCCAAGGCTCTGTCCTTGGACCTACATCTTCATCAATGATGTGGACACTGGAGTCAGAAGCGGACTGGCCAAGTTCACCGATGACACCAAACTTTGGAGCAAAGCATCCACACCCGAAGACAGGAGGGCGATCCAAGCTGACCTGGACAGACTCAGCAAATGGGAGGACAAGAACCTGATGGTGTTTCATGCTGAAAAATGCAAGGTTCTCCACCTTGGGATGAAAAACCTGCAGCATCCTTATAGGCTCAGCAATGCTACACTGGCTAGCACTACATAAGAAAGAGACTTGGGGGTCATCATTGAACACAAGATGAACATGAGCCTGTAATGCGATGCTGCAGGTAGTAAAGCGAGCAAAACGCTGGCTTGCATCCATAGATGCTTCTCAAGCAAATCCTGGGACATCATTCTCCCACTGTACTTGGCCTTAGTGAAGCCGCAGCTGCAGTACTGCATCCAGTTTTGGGCCCCACAATTCAAAAGGTATGTGAAGAAGCTTGAGAGAGTCCACAGAAGAGCCACGCACATGATCAGAGGTCAGGAAAACAGACCTTACGACGACAGGCTCAGAGTTATGAGACTCTTTAGCCTGGAAAAGCGCAGGCTCAGGGGTGATCTGATGGCTACCTGTAAGTTTCAGGGGTGTTCACCAGGATCTGAGGGAACGATTGTTCAGAGTGCCCCAAGAGATGACAAGGTCAAATAGTTATAAACTCCTGCAAGACCGTTTCAGGCTGGACATAAGGAAGAGTTTCAAGGATTTAATTAATCAAACTTATTATTTACAGGGTGTCAGCATTTGAAAATATATTACTAAGAGCATGTCAAACTCAGTAAGTGTCCACTGTGTTTTCTGGCTGGCATTTTACTCTAATTAAAGATGTCATCATGCAAAAAGAGAAATCACAGTGCATAAGTGCTTCTTCGTTTATATATTTGAATGCTACATTTTGTGTGTCTTTCCTAATAACCAGATTTAGAAGAAGCAGAACTAGAGGGATTACAAGCATAATTAAGCAAATATCTGTTAGAATACTACTATTCACTCTTTGTGCCATTGCTATGTCTAGCATTTAGGAAGCTTTGGGCCAAAGAAAGCCAATTTAAATTTCTTTACCTAGTTCCCTTATGGATTATTGGTGGGCTCCAATACTGATAAACATTGCCCATCAGGTGCTCTTTATTCTAATATATCCTTAAATTTTCAAAACAATAGGAATTATATTGATCATATTCTGGCATCTCTCACAACAATGCTATCTAACAGATGAAGGTATTCCTGAATACTTCCAAGATAGGGTCAAGCAGTGTTTGCAAGACTTAAGATTAGTCTTCAGAATACTGACTATTTTATTTTTCTTTTAAAAAGATTCAGCTTAGACTTCATATTAGGAAAGCAAGAGGGAACTTGCATTTGCAGGACTATGACACTAGCTTGGGCACCTCTACAGTTGCTATGTTGTCAGATGAAAAACTATTTAATGCATAGTTCATCATCCACAGAAAGATTCACTCACAAAAACGCATTCTCCGAAGCTTCCTAGGAGCAGTTTTCATAGAACAGAAGAGACTGCATGAATCACTGAACTACAAAATTGGGAATTTTAGCAGCTGAAAAATAAAAGATCTCTATTACATAGGACTAAGATAACCTAGTGATAAGCAATATAGACATACCTACTAATATTTATTGGTTTAGATGTGGTCTAGAACTCTGAACTGTATATGACCATTCCCTATATTTTTTATATACAAGTAATAAGCATTACCTGTTCACTTACTGTATACCTGGGTCACCATTCCACCATCCTTCAGTTTCACCCATCCCCTCCAAACCCTCTGTCCCTCAATTAAAGAAAATACAATATGGTGTCACCAAGATGGAAAGGAGGAAACTTTATTAGAAGGTTTTAGCCACCATACTATAATCCAGCCACAGACAACTGCCACATGCACATTACAAGTTACTGTGTCCTCAGTCAGGCCTCTCAGTTCCTGAATGTTATGAACCATGCTTGATCTCCCCAAACTTCTGCACAAGAGCACCAGAACATAATTGTTCCTTCTACAGATGTTTTTACTTGAATTAACTGTAAGTAGTACAAGTATGAGGGAATGTTCTGTTCTCAGAGTTTCCATGTGGGTGGTCACTCTAGACTCACATAAAATGCATCATAATACAAAGTTGAAAGAATTTCTTGTAAAATATCACAAAAAAGCTAGAAGAGCATTTAATTAATTATGAGTTGTTCTATCCAAGTAAAGGTAATATTAAATTATTTTATAGTAATCTTCCCTACCGACTGTGACACCAGGGCACAGCTCACCTAAACATATGGATTTAATATACAGTCCTCACCCAGTTTATCAATAGTGGTGATTAAGTCAGATGGAACAAATGAATCCAAGTCAGCATCCAGAATTCCTAGGGGATCCAACTGAGCCACATGATGCCCACGGATCTGAAGAGAAGAAAAAATGTAATTAAATAAAAGAAATCAGGTTGACAAAACTGGTCAAAGGAGAGAGTTTGGTGACATTTTTGCCTACAACACACACACCTCCTGGGATCAAAGGAAGTCAAGATAACACTAATCCCAAAAAGGAGGAGCGTGTTATGGGATATACTCACTGAGTTTTTCTATTATAAAACACTGAACCTTACTAATGTGTAGGTGTAACCAACTACATTATCTTTCTTACATCCATTTCACTTTAAAATATAAATAAATAAGCATTCCTTTTCTTATTTGTGGTCTATAAAGCTCTGGAAAAATTTAAGAAACTTTGTCCAGTTTATAGTAGTAAACTTAAAATGTTCTTTGGCTATGGTAAATGACAACGCAGAGCTATAATCATACAGTCCTAAGAAAAAGATACCAAAATGTTGGTGGAACAGATATTACCACTGAAAGACTAGCGCTGTACTGCCAGTATTAAAGAAAATCCATGTCAGATAGGAAAAGAAGTTACAAATACTGTACAAGTCCTCCCAGTTCTACTTCAAGAAGGTTTGAGCAGCCTAATTACATAAAATCAAGATGAAGCTAACAGCAGTTGAGTGCCACTTTCAAATTCAAGACAATTCTGAGTTAGGTGTTTAGGAACTGCCATTGGCAATACTTGCCAAAAGTTACTTGACTTACTGCAGTATCTCAAAGATATAGTATTTAATATGCTTCAAATAGCAAACACTATTCTCTCCATGCTGTGTAAAAATGGCTTTGTTTAGACATTGTTTATAATGTATTTCTCACTTTCACAACAACACTCAACTATTTTACACAGATATTACTTTTTATTAAAGAATTAATTAAAATTTGCTATGCTAAGGGCTAAATTGTGGCTTTAGTGCACAAGGGAATAACCAAACATTTCTCAGAGGTACAGTTCTAGTCTAAAAAGGCACTTCTAAAAAGTGACTTGTAGAGTTCTAAAGGTACATTGATTTCTATATCAGGTGGGCTCCACTTACAAGTAAAAGACTGTAAGTCCTGTAAGTAGAGCCTGGGCTCTGACAGTCAAGCCATGGTTCTTCACATCTGGATGCATTGTCACCAGCAGCAAAATTTCTTCAAGCCAAGTTAAGCCCTGTGCAATATCACTGTTTACCATGATTTAGCTGGGATGATTTAGTTGAGGATGGTCCTGCTTTGAACAGGGTGTTGGACTAGATGACCGCCTGAGGTCCCTTCCAACCCTAATTTTCTATGATTCTAGGATTACACAAATGCATGCAACTGGAATTGAGCAAACAATGCTCATGTCAGTAGAGAGCCTTCACCTCCCTCAGCTGTATTTTCTCTGCAGTATTAGCAGAAGTAGTCAAAGTACCTTATTTTAGGCAAAATCAGATATAACTCCACATACAAAGAGAGGATCTCAAAATCACAACACTGCCATTTTTACATACAACTTTACAATGAAGCCATATAACAAGAAGTGCTAATTGCCGAGGAAATTCTTTGCATGCCAGAAATAAAAATTCAGCGCTCCATTTTTCCAGCATCTGTAAGAATACATAATTTGTTCAGTATTTACAGGTATATTAATGATTATGTATGGAACAATGTCTGGAACTATGACAACTATATTGGACATAGCAATCAAAACATGCTGGATGTATTTTGTACTTTTTTCTTCTATTTCTATATCACTAATTTAGTTTACAGTATACAAAACAAGAGGCAGCTTTGGGTTCAAAGCTACAGATCTAGTCAGGGATGGCCTGGTTGGGGAGTGAGGAAGGGAGGGCAAGAAACAGAACTCTCTTCACTAACAGGGAGCCAGATAATAATAAACCATGTTCCAATTCCAGAACCGTCATTAGTGGCCATGATGAATGAAGCCAAAAGGAAGAAAAATTGATCCTTGTGTGACAGCCTGCACCCTTCAAGCATTGCAAGGAAAAAGAACAAAAAGCTATTTCATTTAAAACTTAACATGACAAGTCAAATGGCAAGAGCCTGGAAGTGGACATGCAAGCCCCACAATTTGCAAGCAAAGTTGCATTTTCTTATCAAAGATTCAGTGGAAGACTAGACATATTGTAGACATTCGGCCTTAATACCAAGGTTTCAAGATAGTTTTTTTAGTAAGACCATCCTAAAACTGTAAAGTTTCACCTTGTTCTGCAACAGGTACCCCACTTGGCATAGCTAGTATCCATTTATATATGGATATAAATCTATACAAAAATTTGTATTAGTATATTTATACATGCTCTCCAGGACAGTAGGATTTTTAAATTCCTGGTCTGTATCCTGTATATAGAGATTCATGGAAATGACATGCACCAGTTTCTAGAAGCAGCTTCATTGTCCATCTGACCAAAAGAATGGCAAAGAAGTTCAGCATAAATAGATTCGGAAACTTGAGAAACTGACAAGAGGCAACTAACATTCTGAACAGGATATGATGCTGCCAGATCAATGACTTAGTTCATTAAATAAGTGAAGATTTAACTTAAACAGGTCTTCCTCAACAAGGAGCTCTGACTATGCAGAAGGTTCATAAGTCTGCTAGTGGCTTGGAGTTAGCATATTGGGGTCTCCTAACTTAGAAAGTGGCCACTTCTATTTTAAGTCCCAGCAATCTCAGGCTCAGTGTCTACTATAAACAAAAATGACCAAAAAGGCCCTTTAAATGAACATCTAATTGTGCATTAGTCTGGCAGCATTTTAGTAAAAAAATGTAAAAGAAGGGAAAAGTAAAAACTGTCAGAAAAAGATGCACAGGGTAGAAAAATCAGGGGGAAGGACTGCCAACTTGAAAACATACAAAAGTAGGGATGGAAGGGACCTCACAAGGTCATCCAGTCGAGCTCCTGCTCAAGGCAGGAACATCCCAGACTAAACCAACTCGGCCAAGTGTCTATATAACCCGTTCTTGAAAACTTCCAAGGATGGAGATTCCACTGTTTTTCTTGGTAGCCTGTTTCAATGCTTGAACACCCTCATAGTCTGAAAGTTCCTCCTAATCTCCAACCTAAATTTCCCCAGCTGTAGTTTGACGCCATTGCTCCTAATCCAGGCCCCTACAGCCACAGAGAAAAGCCCATCTGCACTCTCTATAATCACCCTTCAGCTACTTAAAGACAGTTATCAAGTCATGCATCTCTCTTCTCCCCTGCAGGCTAAATAACTCTAGTTCTTTCAGCTTCTCTGCATAAGTCTCGCCCCCCAGGCACTCAATCAGTTCTGTTCCACTGCACTGGACTCTTTCCAATCTATCCACATCCTTCTTTATGTGTGGGGCCCAAAGCTGGACACAGAAGTTCAGGTGAGGCCTCACCAGTGCTGAATAGAGCAGAAAAATCACTTCCTTTGATTTACAATCAATATTCCTGTTGATACAACCCGGTATGCTGTTGACTTTTTTGGCAACAAGAGCACACTGTTGGCTCATATTCAGCTAATGGTCTACTGTAACCTTTATGTTTTCTCCCCAGTACTGCAGCCTAAACCAATCTGCATCTGTGCATGAAATTATTCTATTCCAAGTGTAAGACTTTGCACTTGTCCCTGTTGAATCTCATCTGATTGATTGTGGACCACTTCTCCAGTCCATCCATTTCATTCTGGATCTTATCCCTTCCCTCCAGAGTGTCTGCTGCTCCACCCAACTTGGTGCCATCTGCAAATTTGATACGTATGTACTCAATCCCACTGTCCAAATCATTACATTAAGATATTAAAAAATTCCTGACTGAGAAGAACCCCACTTGAAACCTCCTCCCAACTAGACATTGAGCCATTTATGACTACACATTGAAAGCAAGTGCCCTACCAGTTATGTTTCCACATTACAGTACTTGGTCTAGTCTGTGTTTTCTTAGCTTGTTAATGAGAATGTAATGGGAGACTGTCAGAAGCTTTGCTAAATCAAGCTTTGCCAAATAAGCTGCTTGCTCCCCCATCCATAGAGCATGTTACCTTATCACAGAAAGAATTCAGGTTGATCAGGCATAACTTGCTCTTGGTGAATCTATGCCGACTCTGTCTGAACAACTTGTTCTCCCCTAGGTGTTTCACAACTGACTCCTTGAGGACTTGCTGCATGATCTTTCCAGGGAACAGTCAGGCTGCTAGCTCTGTAATTCTTCAGATCCTCATTTTCCTTTTCCAAGCACCTGGGACCTCATCTGACCACTGCAAATTCTCGAAGAGTATAACCAATGGCTTTGAAACTAGCTCAGCCAATTTCTTCAGTACTTTATGGTGTATTCCATACAGCCCTGCCAACTTGAAATCATCTAGCTTCTCTAAGTAATCACTAACCTATTATTCTACTACTCTAGGCTATTTGTCTCTCCCTTATCTTTGCTGCCAACTAAACTTATCATCCAGTATCTGCCCCATTGTGAAGGCTGAAGTAAAAGAGATATTAAACACTTCAGTCTTCTCACCATCATCTGTAACCAGACTGCCTTCTGCATTCCATAAGGGATGTACAGTTTCACTGGTCTTCTTCTTGACATACCAGTACCTATAAAGTCCCTTTTTATGTCCTTGCCAGCAGCATCTCAAATTGTGTCTTGGCTTTTTGTTATATACTACCCTCGTAATGTGACTGAGTTTCTACATCTTGCAGGATTCATTTTTAGTTCATCTCATTGAAGAGATTCCTGCCTAGCCTGGCTGGCATCTTGTTGCACTTCCCATTCTTCAGTCACATCAGCATAGCTTACTCTTGTACTCTTAAGAGGACCTCCTTAAAAGTACAGCCAACTCTTCTAGACTCCTTGTCCCTTTAGACTTGCTTCTCACGGGATCCAGCCCACCACTTCCTGGAGTTTGTTAAAATCTGCTTTTCTGAAGTCAAAGGCCTTTATTCTGCTGCTCTCCTTCCTTCCTCCCCTTAGGATCTTGAACCCTATCATTTCATGATCAGTCATCTAAATTACCTTCCACCTTCATATTCTCAACCAATTCCTCCATGTTTGTGAACAGGAAGTTAAGAGCTTTCCCTCCTTGTTTGCTTCTCTACCATCTAAATCAGAAAGTTATCCCACACATACTCAAAGAATTACTTGGGCTGCTTGTGTACTTCTTTGTTTCCCTCCAAAGAGATATCCTGATAATTAAAGACCCATATGAGAACCAAGTCCTGTGATCTGCAAGCTTCTGTAAGTTATTTAAAGAAGGCACCATCCACCTTTCTCCTGATTTGGAGGCTGGAGTGTATATATGTGCAACACCTCTTCCTTCCTATCCTTCCTGAACAAGCTATAACCATTCAGGATTATACTCTAGTCATGTGAACTATCCAATCACACTCTGTAATCCTAATTACAGCAGAATTTTGCAATTTGTACTAGGAGCTCCAATTCTTCCCATTTTTACCCCCGTGCTTCTTACATTGGTATATAAACATATTTTATGGGCACTTACACACATGCAGGGAGGCTGCTCCAATGTGCTGTAAATCTAGAGTGTCAGAGCTGGCTCAATTAATTGAGTCTGCTGGAGCATGGAAATTAATGTGCTCCAGTGGCCTCCAGCCTCATGTGTATCAGTGTCCCTGTGCTGAAAAATGGCAGCAGGGTGCTTTGAACTAAAGCTTGTTCAACAAGCTTTAGTTCAAGGTGCCCTGCTGTCATTTTTTTCAATGCAGGGATGCTAATACACATGACACTTGGGCACTTTTAATTAGAGTGGTTCGCAAATTAAATCACATCACCCCGCCTCCCAGAGCACATGTATAAACACCCTATTATGGTAAATAATCCTATTTGCATTAATGATGGTAATCAATATGTCCTGTTGGTACTGAGTGCTGAATTGAATCCATAAAGATATTTCCATTGGGTATTACTCATTTTCTGTCATTCAGTGTTTAGCCCAATCAACTGTATTAACTAAGAGGAAAGCGGAAAAAGCAAAGGAACAAAGGCAAAAGGAAACAACAATTCTCTCTGGATATCAACATTCAGTTATCTTTGCTAACTAATTTTTGTAACAGATAACTGTTCTCTAGTCTCAGAACAACTCTCATGTTCAGCGTAAGAGTAAAAGTATTGAAGTCATCAGGCTAAAAAGAAAAAAAAGAGAAAGAAATTTAATTGCTACAAGCAGACACAGAAGATGTCAAGGGAGATTTACAGTACTTATGCGCCACACTTAGATTTATCATTTGGTCAGCATTTTGCAGCTCCTGGCAAAACAGCTTCATTACTTTCTCCTCTCTTGTTTTAAAACTTGTATTTAGAGACTTGTGTAAATCATAAGACTGTCACCATTCCTAGATTGCCAACTTTTAATATTTAAAAGAGGAAAAAGTTGTTAAAAATGGTTACTAGATTCATCATGTTTGGAGGACAATAATTTAGAAAACACTGATTTTTATTCACCAATTTAATACTTCACATATCACTGCAGTGGTGAAGGCAAGCAGGAGGCCATTCTTTTTAAAGGCCATTCTTTCAATTAATGGAAAATTCCAACCCACCAATACAAGCTTCATCCACTCTAGTTTTAAAATAACTCAGATTCTCCAGTTATTTTATTCTGCATGTCTGCACACTCTCCCCTCCCTCTCCCCACCATTTTACAAACCACAGTGGTCTACTGCTCAAGGCAACTCCATCCACCATAGCTGGAGAACCACTTAAAAAGATACGGTGTGGCAAAAGACTACATGAAAACCAGTGGTTTCATGATTTTGGTTTTAATACATTTGGCAACTTTTTAAATTTTTGCTCAAGGATTTCATCAAACTATATCTTCCTCTGAGAACCCATTCCTTCCTACTGATGCATCTGTGAGGACACAAGTCAAACCTTTGAATGGAGAGAAAAAGTTACACAAAAAAAATCATTGTTGCCCTCAATTCAAATATGGTAAAACATGTAAAATACACAGATTTACAATCTATTCATTTTCCTTGCATCTTCACACTCAGAACTACATGGCTTAACATTAGGTATTGTGGAAATAGATCAGAAAATCTGCATTACCCATAGTGTGAGAGAAGTCAGGAAGTTTAGTTTTAAAATGTCAGAGCTAATACCAAACAGAGTCAGTATTACAGAAAGTTGTAGATTAGTGGTCTTTTGGTAAAGTAGGAGTCTACTGCAAAAAGCACAAAAACTGGCAAATCTAAGAAATGAAAATTCTGTATTTTTCTCTATTAGATTTAGTTATCAGGGAGAAGCTGCTTACAAACTGACAGCAGCCATTCAGTGTAGCAAGCAAAAGACTACATATGTTTAAAGGCAGCAAGGTGCCTTAGATAATCCTTTCATTGTTTGTCACAGAGGCACAGACTCTTGCCATGTGCAGATATTTCTATTCTATTGATCAAATCAGATAACACCCACTTTCAAATAAAGGGAAAGTCACTCTCTTCCAGCATTTTGCTTCCAACAGTTTTTTTTAGAAGCACAACAGCTAAACCTTTTGTTATAGTCACACTTATTTAAGAGTTTTGCTACAAATTTCAGTGCCAAGCGAAGTACATCAGGCTAGCCTGAAAGTGAAAGTGTTTTCTGAATAGACTACTGGTTAAGTGGTGCCTGTATTTATATAGTCCCTTTCACCTATCTGCCATACGATGCTACACATTTGAGTTATCAAGACTCATACTGGATCATTCTCAATACTAAGATAAGCATGATACTATGCAAACAAATGATGTTGTGGTACAAGCAAAATAGTGCAGGATCAATTTGGGGGGTGGGGTGGGGCATCTATTCCCAGTAACAAGGATTCACAATTAATACAGCTGGAATAATTACAATTTTTTTCAGTCTGGCCACTTCTCTAGAACAACTCAAAAGTATTTTTGGTTCACATAAAGCCAAGCCAAAATTTGTCAGGTTTATTTGAAAAAATGTACTTTGGGTCATATCAGAGAACACTGTTTTCTGCTTTCAGGTTCCCCTTTGTTTAAAGTTACATCTATTTTAAACAAAAAGTCTGTCTCTAAACAAAATGTATGCAAGAGAAAGGGTCTAAATGAAACATTTCAGAGTTCCAAAAAGTTTCATTTAGGCATTTTTTAAAATTTCATTCCCCCCCAAAGTTATTCAGCAAAATTCACATAAATTCACAAAAGTGTTTAGATTCCCCTAAAACTTCATTTTTAGCCAATTTGCCATTGGTCAAGTACGTTGTGTCAAGCTCTACAATCCATTCTGATTTATTTGGGAATTCCAATGTATTCCTTCCCTTTTCCCATAGAAAGAGAATTTGGTGCCAATGAAAATATAACTGGACATTGATCACTGTTTTCCTTGGTCTGAAAAAAATTCAGGTGAAAAAGTCCACTATGGAATATGATCAGAAGTTTCACTTTACTGCACACATCTACCTAAAATATATACACATATTCACTAGATTAAAGAAAAAGCTAGTTCACAATATGAAGTAACTCTGTGGCAATTCTATCATCATTCACACCCAAAAGATTCTAGCAAATGGAGCATGTGGATTTCAGAGAAGCATTACTTTATTTTCCCAACCAAAAATCAGTAAATACATGCACAGAAAAAGCTCCCAGTAGAACACTGAATACTTTATATACTTACTTGATAAGCCCTGATCAAAGACTGCACAGCTAGGTGGTCCTCAACTAGTTTTTCGGCTTTATATGCTGTCTGGTTCAGTCCATGGCTCTGAAGCAGTGATGAATGGTCTGGTAAGTACGCCTGACCAGAAGGAGCCCCAGCATTGCCATTTTGAAAAAACAAATCCCAAGACTGGATAGCGGTATAGAAAAGAAAGGAAATATCTTTGTTGGAACAAATAAAACTCACAATGGCAAAAGGAGCAGCTAGATGTGACAATGAATGACATCACACCATTGCAGAATCAAAATCAACTAGTTAATGGCCTTTGTCATATTTCAATACATACACAATTTCTGTGGCAAATTAATGGCTCCCTATGAATGTAAGTTTATTGTTCATTATAAGTTTATTGTTCTGAATGCAAGCATTTGCCATGATGGAGAGCTTTCTGTTAGAAGAAAAATACCAGTGTAAGTTCAATGTCAGGTGTGTGTTTTTCTGAATGAGTTGGTCAGTATCATTCCTATTCCTCATCATCCTGGAACATTATATTAATCTAGACTTCAGGGTGTTTGTAAACTTGTAATCTGCCATAACTACAAAAATCTAATTAAACCACAAATGTTGCTACTTAAGTCATGATACCTAGTTCCCACTGAATAACAAAGCTGGAAGTCAATCTTTGGTTTATTGACAAGCTTTAGATCTACTCAGTGGGGACCAGAGGCAGACAGTGCATCCCAAAAGTCTGACACGAAAAACTGGCCAGAGTATCCTGAATCTGTGTACTCCTAACTGCCTAAGCCAGAGTTTCAAAGTACTCCAGTTTCAAGTTACAGCTTCTCTCTTCCAGCAGCAAAAGGCTTGGGCACCAAGGGTACAGCCACTATATACCATCCTAAGAAATAAATTCCCTTCGTTTGTTCATTGAGCATTATTAAGAAGGCTCCTTTCTTACCTCAATACAGACATGCATGACTTGGTGAACATCAGCCCTCCCCCTTGTAAAATGGCAATGCTGCTGTGCTCACAGGGGTTTCATAATATTCTATATTTATGGAAGCACTTTAAGGGTTTATGACAAAAGGTGCTAAAGAAGCACCAAGTGTCATCAAATCACTTCAGTGGACAGAGCTGAAACTGGAACAATGGTTAGACTCAGTTGTTTAAGAGCCCCAAAGCTTTAGAACATACTTTGTTCTTTATTCTTATTTACAACTATTTTAAAAGCTTAGCAAAGTGCTATAGAATTGTCTCTCCCATTTAGTTAACTTTGGTGCATTCTTCCAGGGAACCTGCATAACTGAAAGTTCTGTCCCATCCACATGTGTCATCCTGAACTGGCACAGAGCACAGCAACCTGGTTATGCTGACAGCCTGCTCTCTTCCTATCACTCTACTGAAAACTTGGTTCCCCACTTCCCAGAGAACTTTTTATTCAGGAAAAAAAATTATGTATCAAGAGATTTCACATCCTTACTCTTCTTGAAACAGATATTCTGAAGCTCAGCTAAAGAAACTCTTCAGTCAGTCACTTGTACTGCACAAAACTGACAGCAAGAGAGCTAGGTTTCCACTGTTTTTAAATGGGTATCAAACAAGGGGGCACAACCTTTCAAATCGAGTGTTAGGTTCACACTTTGTTAACTGCTTAAAGTTACTCAGATGCCAGAGCTCTGAATGTCTTCCTCCCTATGTCAAACTTTAAATCTTTTATTTGCATGTCTCCACAGTGATACTTAAGGCCTTCAGAGCAGAGGAATTATTTTGGTAATTCAAAATGAAAGATCATTATTACATTAAAAAAATCCAAATATCTTATTAATTCAAATGTGTAGCTTACAGAGGAGATCTGACATGAATTCAAAGTTATATTTTCAAGTAATCCAGGCAAAATGTTAATTATGTCCAGCCCCCCAACACTCATTTTATTTTTTTTTTTAAGAGACTGAGTAGTGAGCAAGCAATATAATATAACTTCCTGTCAAATGCCAAGAGACTGTACTTTTAGATGCTATAATGCAGCATAGGCCGTCTCACAGGCAATGGAACAACACTGCCTTTGGCAGAAGTTGGCAATCTTGTTAATAAAATCTGAATAGAAGTTTTGAAGATGTACAACTATGAGGCTCTAAACAACTTCTGAAAGGCTACATTTGAAGGCATATGTGGATGGAGGGAAGGAATCTCATGCATTTCACTTCTGCTTTCAATGTTCTTGAACGTATTGATTTGTTGAACAGGTTTGACATTTAATCAGAGGGGAGGGAAAATACATCATTTGGCTAAAGAAAATTAGTTTTTCCTAGACACACATCCATCAACTTTCAGGAACTTATATGGCATCTTTCAAGATTGATACCAGAGTACAGCCTTTTGGAGTTCTTGTATCAGTGTCTATCTCTGCTAATAATGCCTGCTATGCAACTGAATGTATAAAAGACCCACTCAGTTTCACAACTCTCTCAGTAGAATGAATAGTCTCTCAGTTCTTTCTTTATTCAACAGAGATCTGACTACATTGGGCTGAGTTATACCAAGGAATAGGAGACTGTCAATGGCATAGGGACATAAACTATAAACAAGAATTATTAAAGAAAAAATGGATGTTGATCCCCAGTGGTTGATCCTCTGTTGTGAGCAAACTTCTATCTTCCCACAGAAGCAAATACATTAGATACCTATGCCTGAGCTTTTAATTTCAAAATAAGTCAAAATGTCAAAAGATATGATGACATTTCATCATCGCATATTATGCAGTACTACAAAACTAATCTGAAATAGGTTATTTACACTATAGCATCACTGGAGGAAACTTAAAGCAGTTTTGTCCTCTCAAGTAAGACAGAAACACACATCCTGAGCTAATTTTATAGCATCGCTGTTCATACAAAGCAAGCTTGTTTTTATAACACTGATTTCCAAGTATACAATATAAGGAAGGAATTAAATACTCACAGCAGAATGGCTGCATACAGGAAAACATGGTTACCATTATGTACTCAATATTCAACCATGCCGTTTTGCAATTAATCTTGTGATAGTAATAACTGAGCCTTGTCAAGCCCCTTCCCTATGATCTATGGCCCTGACATCATTCTATAAGCAGAAATAATGATGCCTTTTTCAGAGCTCATGTCACATTTTATTCCCAAAGCTGTTTTGAATGCTACTTTCAGAAGAAGACAGACAAATGCAGAAGCAGAGATGCTTCTAAAGGAAAGGATCAAGTGGAGATGAGGTGGGGAAAACAGGGGAATATAGGAGAAATTCCTTCTGTAACCTACCATCTAACCAGGTTTAATCTCTCCTTAGCTTTGCAGAAGTTTCCTTAATATCTACATATTCAGGGAAGTATTTCTAAGGTCAAAACACTAACGATGCTGGAGTCTAAACCTGAAACAAAGTCACCTTGTATGTTAAAAGAGTGAGCAACCAAATTTTTCAATCTTATGAGAAAGTAAAATACTGTTGAGACCCATGGTTTGTGGACATTTAAAAATAAAGTTTTTTAAAAAAAAGGGGAGACAGGGGAGTTTGTTTTAAAAGTTTAAACAAAAGATGCAAGTTGACAAGATACATCTGAGCAGAATAGCAGAATGTCCAAACAGAAGTGAAATAACTAGGGCTATCAATTAATCGCCATTAACACGCGCGATTAACGTATTAATTGGTTCTTGCATTAATTTTTTTTAACCAATTAACCGCACACATGATTTTGAAGCCCACACCTGGGCTCCACTCAGCCGTCACCACTGCCTCCGGACTACTACAGCAGGGTAGCGGTGGCAGCACAGAGGACCGAAGGGCAGCCCAGTCATGGACTCCGGGCTCCTGCAGCAGGAAGGTTGGGGTAGAGGCAGGGAGGTGCATGCACAGACAAACACATAAGAGCAGCAACAGCATGCATGAGGTCAGGAACACAACCAAGTGGCATGTACAGCAGTGCCCAGCAGGTAAGTCTGTGGAGGTGAAGGGGCAGGGAGAGACAGAGGGAAGGGGCGGGGGCAAATTGAGGGCCCACACAGTGAGGGAGGTAACAGGGCAGGTCATGAGACAGAACCGCAGGCAACTCAGCCACAGGGCAGGCAAGGGATGCAGCATGGCCAGTGCGCAGCTCCCGGAGCAAAGGCAGCAGGGCACAGAGGCTCAGCCTGCACCCCTGGACAACCCTCCCGTGGCTCCGTCCCATGACCTGCCCCAGCCCTGGGGCCCCATAAACCCTTCCCCCTCCCCCCACTCCTTCCCGTCCACAGACTTAGCTGCTGGGTGCTGCTCTACACCCTGCCATGCTGCGTTCCCATAGGGTTACCAGATTTCCAGTTTCAAAGTATATCATGATTGCAACAACTAATATATGGGAAATTAGATTCATATTTATTCATTTTATAAAATTCCCTAATAAAAAGTTTGGTTTAAGATCACCAACAAGAGTGGAATCAATCTATACTTAATCTTACTAGTATCATTTTGTATTAATATGTAGCTTACCTTATGAACACTTTTAGGGTTTTCAAGCCATGCATAATACATTTCTTCCACATAATTTGAATTACTTCCACTCAGGAATGGTTCTGTGGCTCTGGATGAAACATAAAGTCGGTTCTGTAGAAATACCTTTCTGGCCACATCTTGATTTTTCAAAAATTGAATGCCAGGATGTTTTAAGGTAGCTGCAAGCAACCTCAAAAGACTCATGGTTAATAGAAGATCCAAGCCTAATAAAACAAAACAAATTCAAATCAAGAGAATGGCTAATGCATTACAGATGTCTTGCAATGAAAACTGTGGTATAAAGCTAGAACTGTTTTTTAAACAGAAAAAACACAGAACAGAAAAGTCCACTGATCAGTTACAGAGTCTGCATATACAGATGTTGATAGCAGTGATGATCACACATTACCACCTATCAAACCCAGAAACACTTTAGAGTTGGGAACCAAAGATATCATTAAGGTTTCTAAAGTAGGAGTAGCCCCCTACTTTTAGATACATTTCTTTGAAACCCAGGCAACAGAGATCACATTAACCCACTCACTCTTCCTGGTACTACTGAGATCTGTTGCTGCTGTTACTCAGTTTTTGTTTTTGTTTTTTAAACAGTCAACCTTTCTACTAGCTCTCCTAGAGGGTTTCAGCCACAGAATCCTTCTGGGAAGAAAAGGGAAGACTGGTATGTCAATTTATTTTGCCATATAGGGTAGAAATAACAACATGAAACATTAAGGTGGGCTTTGACTGGGTACTAGGCTTAAGACCAGATTACAGCAGGGGTGATTTAGTTCAAGCTGTACAGTGACAGAGCTATCCTGTTGTGCACCCAAAGGCCATTTAGCTTCCAGGCTCACTTTTTAACTGGGTAAGTGCCCTGAAACTTTAAAATGTGACAAAAAGGGAAGTGCTAGATTCAGAGAAGTCTTGAGCACTAGTAACTTCTAATGTTATCACAGGACATTGAAGCATTTCTAATTGTAAGCTACAGTTTGAAACCTAGCCAAAAAAGCAACCATTATGTTAATAAAAATCAAACTCACAGCAAAAGCAATATGAAAGTAAAAACAAATCATCTGAAAAATTATAAAGAATGTATTAACCAATAAAAGTTAGAAAACTTGAAGTTAATCCTGACACATCTTCCATAAGAGTATGGAAAGTGGGTCATTTAAATTACATCAATCAGTTACCATTACAAATTCATCCACAATGGGACAGTTGGTCAAAACTGGCGTAATAACAATGTATTTGTGTACATACACATCACTGAAGGGAGCATTCACATAGATCCAAGATGCAGAACATGTACCATCAGACATAGCAAAAGAAGAGAAAATTTTATCCCAGTGCAGCCCTATTTTACTAAGCCACATTATATGGATCTCCTCTATTGAAAGTCACGAAAGTTTTGCATAACTGAGGCCATGGAAGGGACATGCAGTTGAAGAACTCTGAATCCCACTTCAAATTTGGCACACTTTAGCAATATGCATTTTCCCCAAAGTTCCCTGTGCATTTCAGAAGCAACACTGCTCTCCAGCTAGATCTCTGGAGGCTCCAGAGGATAGCCAAGCACTCACTTGCCATCCACCCAACTCTCCTTCCCTGCCCTGTAAGCACTTAAAATATGTTCCTTCTCCCCCTTTCTTCCCCAGGATCATTTCTGAAAGTGCTTCTTTACCCATGGATGCCTGCACCCTTGTTGTCTGAAGCACACCAAAGTAGGAATGAAAAGTTAATCATTTAACCAGTAAGCCCAGTGGTAACCAGTTAGCTTACCAATTATTGTTTCATGTGGGACAGGGCACAGTCTGTCAGGGAAAGGAAAAAAGGGAAGCCACACAGTATCCCAGCAGGAACTGGAAGACAGGAGGGACAAGGGGGACTAGTACCCATAGCCTATGAAGTTTTAAGAGTAAAACAAACAGTGGCCTGACTCATCAGTTAAGCAATTAGCTGCTCATTCACAGGTGCTCCTCACTTTCAAGGAAGGGCTTCATGTTGGGTTTGCTGTCTGGCTAGGCTTGTGACCACCTCCTTCCCCCCACCCCCCAATGCCACCAAAGGGCCGGGAATGCAGCTCCCAGCACCAACTGTGTTCCAGCTGCTGTGTTATCAGTTAACCATTTAACCAATATAATTAAAGGAGGCTAAATGGAGAATTTTTTTAACAATATTTACATCCAAAGGCATTTGCAGCACTTCAAACAGCATATCTGTTCAATAACCATCACAGGTGGGCAGAGGGTAGATTCAGGCTAGATATTAGGAGACTCTACTTCACTGTCAGGGCTGCTAGGATCTGGAACCAACTTCCAAGAGAAGAGGTGGTGGCTCCTACCCTGGGGGTCTTTAAAAGAAGGCTGGATGAACACCTTGCCAAGGTCGTTTGACCCCAGTACTCTTTCCTGCCATGGCAGGGGGTCGGACTTGATGATCTGCTCAGGTCCCTTCCAACCCTACCAACTATGAAACTATGACCCAAATCTGGAAGGCAACTTTGATTTTTAATCTTAGTTCTGCTCTCCTCACTTATAAAATGGTTAAGTATAGAGGTACACCAATATATCGGTGGCATATGAGATCAGTACCAATAAAAGGAAAATACATATTATTGGCTATCAGCTTTCTTTGGCCAGTGTAGCTACTACCAGTAATGCAACTGATAAATACTGCTTTCATGTGCACAGCCACACGCATACACGCAGCCAGGAATGCAGCCCGGCAGCTTGGAGAGCAGCGTGCTGCTGATAAGCTTGTAGGGAGAAAGAGACATAAGGGAGGGCAGGGGTGTGGGGAGGGGGCAGATCGAGAATCCCATGGTGAGGAAGAGAATGGGGCAGGGGCTGCCCAGCCAGGTTGGTAAATGGGACCCCGGGGCCAGGAGCAGGATGAAGCCGCAGGCAGCTTTTCCAGGCAGCATGGGGAGGCAGGCAGCTCCTCACTGCTGTGCGCACCCCCAGGGGAGGCATGGGGGGCCTGTGCCCTCCCAGATTTGTAACCCCACTGCAGTGTTGGGGTCAGAGGCTACACCCAACTCTCCCTGGAGGGGGACTGGGCTGGGGCTGGGCTCGGAGCAGACTGGAGCAGGGTGGGATGGCCGCAGCAGCAGTGCTTGGAGGGGTGGCTATGAGGGAGGGCCTATGGGAAATTTTTGGGTGGCTACAGCCCTCCAAACCTCTGCCTCTGTTTGGGGCTGCTCTGCTGCCTTTTCCTTGGGAGCCCTGCACTGGCCATGCATCCCCTGGCTGCCCTGTAGCAGGGGGTTCAAGAGGGAAAGGCAGCAGAGCAGAGTGCCCCGAGCAGGTGCAGCACTGGGGGGGAGGGGGTTGGGAAGCTATAGCCACCCCTCCCAGGACCACCATCACCCATCCCATGCATCTGATCCCACCCTACTCCTGCTCTGAGCCCAGCCCTGGCCCAGACCCCCAACCAGGAAGAGGCTGGTGCCACCCCTGGCCCTGAGCCCAGTGGGCAGCCCACCCTCCCCTCATACACAAGTCTGGGGATGCACCTGCCCCCCATGTCTCCCCCAGGGGTATGCGCAGCAGCAAGGATCCACCACCTCCACCACACCAACGCTTCTCAATATATTATCTACACAC